CCTCTCCACCCCCACTCCACCCACCCCCTTCTTTCCCTATTAACTTCCCAAGCTCCAAAATCTTAACACATTCTAATTCAAACAAATTATGTATCCTTCCTCAACTTCTTCTTCATCTCAAAATTCAATGAGCCACACCACCACCGCTGGCGGCGGTAGCAACGGCGGTGGAGGGCTGACCCGTTACGGTTCAGCTCCGGGCGCATTTTTAACTACTGCAGTTGAATCCGTCATTGGTGCTAATAATCACGATTTTAACCTCCACGGGTCCCACCATCAACACCTTGGACCTTCGCGATATTATTCGCCAAATATGACGTCATCTAATTCGTTAAATTCAGAATCTACTAGTAAGGCTAAGGAACAATCGAGTTTACAGAGATCAATTGGATTCAATGATTTAACAATTGGCGGCGGCGGTGGTGGATGTGGAGTTTTGCCGGCGGCGAATTCGACGACGCCGTTGGTTCGACATAGTAGCTCACCAGCTAGGTTTCTTAATCAACTTGCTGCTGCTGCTGGTGATACTGGTACGTTTAGCTTACCTTTTTTTGTTTCTTTTTTGAAGTCTGAAATGACGAATTTGTCCTTCGTGTGTTTGATTCCTTTTTGTTTGCCTACCAAAAGTCTTCAGCTTTTGGTGACTTTTTAACCAATTAGAGCAGACTTTGCTTATTGACTAATCACAACGCTACTTTGCATAAATAACAAACTTTGAAATGTAATTTTGCATAAATAACCGGTACCTGCTAGAATGCTATATTCCACGATTACAATCAAATTCTTTTATAATAGTCTCGTTTGTTTTGATATTTTTTAATTATTATAATGAACTGTTGTTATAAAGGATATATATTAGAGTATAATATAAAAATCAGTTTCGAAAACAATTAATGATATTATAGAGATGTGTGACTGTATATGTATTAGATAACTTTTGTTTTCGTTGCAACAACTACCGGCCTTAAACTCTTAACCTAGTGACATAGAAATGACTCTTCCAATCATTATGAACAAGAATGACCGGTCGTATCGAACAACTTTGTGTACTAAATTTAAATAGATGAGAAGAAATTACCTAGTATTTTTTTCCCCTCTTACTTAGGTTTTTAAGTCTTCCCTCTAAACGTTTATTGATGGAAAATAGGGTTTAAGAAAAAAAAATAGTAACGGCTTTCGGCACATACTAATAGTGCTATTAGAAATTGTGTGCTTAAATATACCATGACAATTGTAAGGAAGAGTAAATTAATAAGTTTGAATTATTCTCAATATAGAAATATATTACTTTTATTATGTTTTGAACACATTTAAAAGAAAGAGTGTCATATTAAATGAAATACAGATTATGAATAAAGTTAAGTGGGGAATCATGATGCACAAATAATAGAAACCTTAAGGGGTGTAGGATGTATTTGAAAAAAATAATACAAGCATTAACTCTATACATTACTAATACCTTGTTTGGTAGTACATTTTTCAACCTGTGTATAACTAGTACATTTTTTCAACCTGTGTATAACTAGTACTTCTGTTCCAATTTATGTGAATCTTTTTCCTTTTTGGTTCATTCTAAAAAAGAATGACACCTTTCTAAATTTAATAACAATTTAATTTAAACTTATAATTCTACTCTTAATGAGAAGCTTTTATAACCACACAAATTCTCAGGGCCCCTTTTTGGCTTGTTTAGGACCACAAATTCCAAAAGTCTTTATTTTTTCTTAAACTCCGTGGCCAGTCAAACAAGTTCACATAAATTGAAATGGAGGGAGTACATTTTTCCAACCTGTGTATAACTAATACTTGATATTATCCCTTATGTATAAGTAATGCATAGAAAACCATGACATTAGTAATACCAAGGCTATTAATGCATGTATTAGTATGGTTAAAGACATAATTACACCACACCAAACAGTAGATAAGAAATAATATCTGCATAACTCATGCTTGCATTACTAACACATGCATTACTAATTCAAGTATTACTAATACACCTTATTCCGCACTATTGTTATACACCCTACCAACGCCCCTAAAGGAAATAATGTTGCTATTTTCCTTACATCTTGTGGTGTACTAGTATTGGTTCTTCAGACCTAACTTTGGTATGAAAAGTCAGTAACTATGAATTAATGTTCAAATACGCGAAAGGAAAAAAATCTTAGTTTTATACTAAAACCTTGTCATATCAGTTAAGAAGCTAGTTGTATTGTGAATGATATATAAATCAGATGATGGGTTAATGATATTATTTAAAGGGTAATTAGCAATAGATGAAATGAGAAAGTAAGATTTACTTATGTCACAAACTCACAATCATACGTTAGAAACTGACTAGTTGAGCACTTACACATATATTTAATTACTTAAAAAAGCACACATAAATAAGAGTGGAGTGGGGGAAGATGCTTTTAAAGGAAGTTTAGAGTTATTGAATGAGTTTGTCTCATCTAATTACATATAACAAGTTGCTAATAAAAACCACCAACAAATAAAAAGAGTTACGTATGTGTCAAAAGGAGACACTTAGTACTAAAAAAATTCTTAATTAATACCTCCTTGCAACTTGCAAATTCCTTTTTTTTCCTTCCATATGATTATCACCTTAAGACAAGAGGAGTTGTTCTGATGCTAAGCAACCTCCACTTCCAACCAAGAGGTTGTGAGTTCGAGTTTACCCAAGAGCAAGGTGGGAAGTTCTTGGAGGGAAGGATGCCGAGGGTTTATTTGGAAACAGCCTCTCTACCCAGGATAGGGGTAAGGTCTGCGTACACATTACTCTTCCCAGATTCACTAAGTGGGATTATACTGGGTTGTTGTTGTTGTATATGATTAGCACCTTCAACTTTTGAACTTACGATAACAAGTGTATAGTATCGACGAGGCCCGGTTCTAGACTAAGTGATAGCAGAACCGGTAATGATCCGATATTTAAGTGGAAAAGTACATAAGGCTAGACCAGTTATGTTCAAACTGTGCGCCACTAACTCTCAAATATTAGTCGTTGGACAAGTTGGAGTTGTTTTAAAATATTTACCGTTTTAGAAAAATAAAAAATTCATTAGCTTTCTGTAGATCAACCTTTAGTCTTCCAATTAGTAGAAAATTAGTTAAGTGAGAGACTAATGAGACAAAAAGTAATTTAGATAATACTCTTATGATTAAGATTATTAAATATTTTTCTTAAAGGATCCGCAAAAATCCTAAAAGACGGATAATATAGATTGGATATTTTAAAATTTTCCTGCGAGAGTTGAGAATTAAAATGAAGAAAATTGATATTTGGGTTACTGTATAGATACAAATATACAAGGGGGAGATCTTGGGTCAGTTAGGGTAAACGGAATTGTTTCCTAATTTAGAAGGTAATATAACTTAAGCAGCCGACAAATTATTATTGCTCTTTTTTAATAGAACAAAATTATCCATCAAGGGCAAATTAGGAAATTATTGGAGCTAATTGGTAGGTTTTAATCCTGTCTCAACTCTCAGTGACATGTAAAGGTGGGTTCCACATTTATTGGGAAGGTGAATGCATGTGTGTCTGCTTCCAATCGCCCACAGATTTTTCTAATGAAACCAGTGGTCTAAATTAATTAATTAATTATGCTGGATCCCTCTTTAAGATTAGAATCTTTTAAGCACTAATAATATACTTAGTATAATAGGGTTTTTCTTTTTCAGTTTTATAGTTTATTTCACAGGCGTAGATGCAACTTGTGCAACTTGGTACTCGAATTTATGTACTATCAAATAAAATTATTATTTCCCATTATAAATAGTCAAAAAATCTCTAGGAGAAGACTTTTGTAAAAAAGAGTGGTATTCAGCTTCTGAAATTTGGAATCCCTTAATTCGTGTCTATTTTACCTATCAAATTGAGGTAAAGAGTCAATTTTTGATATTTCTATTATTAAAATCCTTTACGAGAAGCACTAATATATTGCATTTGGATCAAATTTCGGATATATTTAAAAACCCTATAATTTTTCTTGGTATATAATAGGAGTAGTTGTTTTCAACTAATAAAGTCGTTTCCGTGAACGATCTTTTGCCAATAATTAATGTGTATATTTTGACCACGAAATAGGGAAATTTAATTTGTTTCAATTTCTTTTTTAACAATCTTACATCTACTCTAGATTAGGTTTAGATCTACTATTAGACCTTTAAATTATATTAGTCTCTTAGTGAGTTTACAATTTGCTTCCATTATTTTTCTTTCACCTTTTTGTAATTAATACATTAGAGTTTGTGGGGGTGCTTCTTTGAGCACAAGTCTTATTCAATTTATAGTCTGGTTGACCAAGTTTCTAAAACCAGCTTATTTTTAAAAATATTTTTCGGAAAAGTACTTTTGATAAAAAATAATCTATGTTTAACTAATTAATTTGAAAATCACTTTTGATTAGCAATTTGTATTTGACTAAACTTTTAAATATGCTTCTAAGTGTATTTTTTTGAAAAGAGATTTTCAAAAAAGCACTTCTAGAGAGAAGCTATTTTATGCTTCTCAAAAATAAATTCTGTTTTGACTCAAAAAGCATTTTTTTCCCCTTCTAAAAACTTGACAAAAACATTAACTTTGAAAAAAAACTTTTGGCAAAAAAAAAAGAAGCTTTTGACCAAAAGAAAGCTTTGCCAAACATGGTATTAGCTATGTTATAGTTTCTCCTTTTATTTCAACCAAAAAGCCTCTTTATAAATAAATAGAAAGATAAAACTAGTACAACTTGGAAATATACTAGGATTAAATAATTAAGGAACTTTTAGGGAAAAAAATTCATGGTCTTCGTAATTTTAAGCAAATATTGAGCAAGAAGAGATTAAGTGTCCATTTTCACATTATTAATACTCCCCTGTCTCATTTTATCTATCGTGTTTCTCTTTTACACGCCTCTTAAGAAAATAATAAATAGAATTTTTTTTCAGTATTTTACCCTTATTAATGTTTTAAAATATAATTTTTTTTTATTTATTACTTACTTATAATTAAGGTATTTTTAGTCCTCAAGAACAATTAATATTAATGGTAGAATAGGAAAAATAATAATTAATTTACTTTTGAACTTTTAAAATAACAAATAATTTGAGATAATTATTTGTAGAAACCATAATATGAGACAGAAAATAATTAATTTAGTAGACGAAGTTTACAGTTGGGCCCCATGAATTACCCAATGAGCAATAGATAATATCATTGTCTTGTTTCGTTAATCATAATCTTAGTAAGAAGCTCCTTAATCCTTATTGGAGGAAGTGAGCATTTTCTTTGTTTTAAGGGGTCCAAACTTTCAGATAGCAAGTTGACATTACAAAATTATTAAAGTCCCCAACTAGCCAATAAAATAATACTAAGAAAAAGTTCATGTCCCTTTATTTAATTGATGGTTATTGTGCCTAGATTCATTGAATCCATTTTCTTTTTTTGCTTATTTTGAGGTCAAGATGCATTCACCAAACAGCTCCTAAAATTCCATGACTGGTCAGTTATCACGTGCATGGGTATTACTTGACCCGTGATTCCCACTTGCTCCTTGTTATTCATTATTATTATTATTTAATTTGTTTATAACTTAGCCGCCACCTAAAACCAGCCCAATGTTTTTGAGTACTTTACTAGTTTTCAATAATTGATGTTTTTTACCCATCTCCTTTTTCTTTCCCCTCTGAAATATTTTTCATTCTTTCATCCTTATTAGCATGTAATAATAATTTTTTAATAAGATTTAAGTTTATGCATTAGCGATGCATTAAATATTTATATAATTAGGTTATTTATAAATAACTAAAAATAATTTATATGATAAAGATTAAATAGTAACTTGATGAAAATGTAAACTAGTCTGCTATCATAGGTTTAGTTACACAAAAAGTGTAAAAAAAAATTTATGCTGTGATGATAGTAAATCCTTCTCACTAATAGGATTTTCCTTTTTCAACTCAGTCCGATGACACATATATACTGTCATAGTCCCCCCTTTTTATGAAGATGACTTTTTCTTTTGTTTTGAAAATAGACTTGCAGATTAATAAGTAGAATGACGGTTATTTATTGAAAATAACTAGTAGATTTATCCACGCTTCGCGCGATCATAAAAAAATATAAATAATGATTTGCCAATATTCGGATAGTAAAAATATTTTAGTCTCACATCCGAAAAGATTAGATTTATCCATTTTATTTGTTACTCTTAATTGAACTTCTTCCAAACATGTAGAAGATACCAAACTAAATATACAATGCAAGGAAAAGACATATGAAAAAACAAAAACAGAAAACCAAATTTAAATAAGAGAATTACATTCCTTTTGTAGCTTTTGTCAATAATAGTAATGACGTTTGAAGATTTGCAAATAGTTACTTGGCTGGCTGTTCATTAGAGAAAGAAAAGAAAAGTTACTTGGCTGGCCATATTAAAACTATCCAAGAAACAAACTTTATACTGAAAAACATATTAAAGAATATGAAAAGTTAATACACATTATTCAGGTTAATTACAGAATAGAAACAAACAGTTGAGAAAATGACGGAAGTATATTTTCTCAAAAAATTCACCCGAAGATGTCAAGACATACTCAACTACATTGGATAAAGGCCAAGAATGGACATGTATGGACGGAGAAAAACCCCAGAAGACCAAAAAAATAAGATTTGCATAGCTTATTATCTTCTAACTCAAAATATGGACGAACCAACAAAAGTCCCAAGATTTTGACTTTTAAATCGAGATCAATAGAGATTTGCATAGCTTATTATGTTCTAATTCAAAATATGGACGAACCAACAAAAGTCCCAAGATTTTAACTTTTAAATCGAGATCAATAGCTCCCGTTCCAACGGTTTTGCCTTTACCGGCCCGAACTTGAGCTTTTTCCCGGCCTTTTTCCCTGTGATTTCCTTGTTTGATACTTTAATCCAGTCATGGGAACATAAGTACGAATATAAGAGAGCTATCATAGGTTAAGTTACACAAAAAGTGCAAAAAAAATTTATGCTGTGAGGATAGTAAATCCATAGGATTTTCCTTTTTCAACTCAGTCCGATTACATATATACTGTCATAGTCCCTCCTTTTTATGAAGATGACTTTTTACTTTGTTTTGAAAATAGACTTGCAGATTAATAAGTAGAATGACAGTTATTTATTGAAAATAATTGTTAGCATGAACATGCCAAATGAGGGTGAACGTTAAAAATAAAAAAATGAGGTTAAACTCTTGTGACATAGACCACCTTTTACAAAAAAAAAAACATATATCTTGTGACATAGACCACGTTGGCTAAGGTTTATGTAGTCCCATAGGTGTTTGGATTTTAGTAACAAGACAAGATTGCTGTGAAAATTTGAAATTGGATTAATTTGAGCTCCAAACGGGCAAAATACTCGAGATTGGACTTATAAGGTTATGATGTTATATGCTATTTAGTATGTAAAATAGGTTTAGTACATTAATCATTCTTGTAACCTTTTTCATGATCCAAGAACATGGACTTACTTTCTGTTTTTTGCATGATGGTGTGATTTGAACCTACAACCTCTTACGTGCTCTGCTATCATATTGAATGATGTCCGTAATATATTTCAAGTTTGACATGATGTTAGGCTTTTCAGTATCAATGGGGAGAGGAAGCTATAACTCTAAAGGCGTCGCAGACAGTAGCCGGGGTATAACAAGGCTGAACTCTCAGCTCAGCTTCACTAGGCAGGAAGTTCTCTCTCAAATAGCAGAGGAAAATGAGGATGTTGAAGGGACCAGTACAGAGAATGGCCACAGAAAGTCAACACATTCTTATGCCACTGCAAGTAGTTTCGCAATGGGTTCATGGGAAGATAACAATTCTATAATGTTCTCTGTCACACCGAGTAAACGAGCCAAGCACATTAGCAATGACATTGTCAATGGGCTCGATGATGGGGAAACTCAGGTAATATAACTGGAACTTTGTCAAAGTTTTTTTTTTTTTTTTTGGGAGAAGTTGCAATTTAGTAGATGGTGTTTAAGGGTCGCGTTTTCTTTATCCTGATTTTTTGAGTTGTGCATGTGATACGCCTAATGTTAACAGTAGTTATGTGAAAAAGTGAGATCTCATTTTAATGATGTTAACTTTCTCAATGAAAAAATATCATCTGCTTTGATTTAGTGTCCTTAGAACTGTTTTAAAATCTCAATTTTTTTCCTTAACACACTATTATTTGAATTTTTCAAAAAGTTGATGATTTGGTTCTTCTCTTGGTATTCTTCTATCCCTAATTTCCCTACCTTTCTTCTTTCATCCAGCTAATTTAAACTTGATAATCACTATAAGAAAGCACATAAACCTTCAATGTCTGTGTTTTGAACATGTCAACAGCAATATATATACTTCCTTTCCATTTTTCCCCTTGATAATGTTATATATATTTGGTTTCTTTCCTGAGAAGAGAGTAAAATAAAACAGATAACATACTCCAACTTGGCATACTCAATCATGTTACTCTTGTTCAATTCTCACAAACAGTGATGCAAAACTGCATTTTATTACCTTGTTGAAGGATGAACTCACATTTTTTTATCCATTTTCAGTTTCAGTTTGGCTTGTCTCAGACAGCACTAGAAATGTCGTCAATGGATAGATTGCTGCACATCCCTGAGGATTCTGTTCCTTGCAAAATTCGTGCCAAGCGTGGTTGTGCTACTCATCCTCGCAGCATTGCAGAAAGGGTGAACTTCAATTTCTTAGTTATTCCTTGACCTTGTCCTTTCAAAAGAAAACAAAAAGGAAAAAGGAAAGAAGTTAATTGAATTGTATCAGTGAACTTCAAAAGATGGTCAATGAACTATATGTTTCTAAAAAACACTTGTATTATTTGATAACTTCTAAGACTCTGATGTAAGATTAAGTGGTACAAAATAAATTGTCTTTTTGGTCAACAAAATTAGCTTTATTCGCATATATACAACCACATGGTTTGAAGGAAAAGGAAATAATCAGCTGAAGACCATAAGACGAACTGATTCTAAATGGCAAATTTACTGTTCTGTAACAATAGATGTCGATATCCACTTGTAGTAGATGCGGCATTTGAAATGCTTTTCTCAAAATTTGGTTGATCGCAGCTATGTTTGTGCACTAATGTATATGTGATAGTGAGCATTCTGTTCTTTCTTATCTTGTGCAGGAGAGAAGAACCAGAATAAGTGGGAAGCTAAAGAAGTTACAAGATCTTGTTCCAAACATGGACAAGGTACAGTTTGTGTTTTTGGATCTATTAGTATTTGCTCATTCTTTTCATGTTAACTTCTTCGGGAAAGAAAAGTGTCACGAGAAATGTCTTTATGGTGTTGGAGGGGGAGGGAGTGTCATTAAGTTTTAAGCCGAACTTGCAGTATAACTCTGCGATTATAAAGCATGTATAACTATTTATGAAGTGCTTCATATACTATAACTCTGTAATCATGTTTGCTTAGAACAAAGAAAATTAGCAAAGTGGAACTGGTAAATGGTGATTCCAAGAGTCTTATTTAATTGGATATGGTACGATGTAATGGAGATCTTGATCCAGTGCTTCACAGAATCACCTAACGATGTTGGGTTCGTCACATGAACTGGACGGTCTATAAAGCCTAACAAGCGAGCTATGCTTCCTTGAAATTTTCCAAAACTGTCATCACCTATGGTTGACTAAGAAAAAGAGTTGGAAACAAGAGACCTGGTTCTTTTTCCAGTTTCGGATTCCAGAAATTCTTAGTTACTGGGATTGCTAATATGCTGTTCAACTATTTGTTTTTTAAATATGTGCAGATTTTATATGAGAAAACTAGGAAGCTATCTTTCATTTGTCTTGATTTTATGCTTGTTTTTCTTGTTCCTCTTCACAGTAGTTTCTCAGTTGACATTTCTCGAAACATGCTTGAGCTGCAAATTTCATCTTGTTATTCTTTTTTTGCAGCAAACGAGCTACGCTGACATGCTGGATCTAGCAGTGCAGCACATTCGAACCCTTCAAGATCAGGTTCAGGTGGGTAAATAAATTGATCTACTTTTCTTCTTTGCAGCTTTACTTATCTATCCAGTTACATGCACCTAGAAATGAGTATTTACTTAGTTCAAGTATGGCTAGGTATGTATGAAAATACTATATCCTATGTTGCTCGCACTCTTCAAAAATACAGTCCGGTGTGTATCGGATCCTCCAAAATCGATACGGGTATGAAAACATTTTTAGAGGATCCAAGCAACATATTCCCACCCGGTGTTTGCATCGAACCAAATAATTTGACCTTAAGAATCATAAATTAAAGTGAAAATAGTTTAAAATTTTGGCGGGATGGAGGAGGTCTAATATATTTTGCGAAAAATTAGTGATGACAGCAAAAAAGATAAATTTACAAAATTAACTAGCCCCGGCTTTATAGCTGTCACTGGGAACTTCTCTCCTCGTCTCTCCTGTTAATCTTCTTTAGTTTGCACGAGCTTCTGTAAGCGCTGAAACAGACTCCAATTACATGTATTAAACATCGTCCGTGGCACTCTGTCTATTGGAAACAACCTCTCTACCTCCACAAGGTAGGGATAAGGTCTGCGTATATACTATGTGGGATTATACTTGGTATGTTGTTGTTGTATACGTCCGTGGCACTCTCTTACCTCGTTCACATTGTGAGTCTATGTCTTCATCTCGGATTCATAGATTCCATTTTCCTCCTACAAGTAGTAGATATTATTTATTCATATTGTTCTTATTCTTGTGCAGAATCTCAACATTGAACTTGAAAACTGCAAATGTGGATGTAAGAAATCGAGTCAATAACAGTGCATACAAAATGGGAGGAACCATTAGCTGAAGATTGACCTAAAGGCTTTTTGTCACCATTATTGCCTCTGTAGAAGAATTCAAAATCTGTACATATGGAAGCAAATTTCCAACTAGCTTTTTTAAAGCTAAAAGTGAATTCTCTTGGTCGTTTTTTCCTTTTCAGTTGGACCACGTATATGATTTTGGATAATTTCTAGTTTTTTTCCCTTAACATTTAATTTGTAATTCAGTTTTGGGTTCATTTTGCTTTCTAGATTCTTTTCTTGAGTATCATAAGGCTAATTCATGCTGATGGACTATCGCTTCTCTATTTCATTCACAATTTAAAGAGAAAAATTGATCCTACAACAAACTGTGTTTTATTTGCTGACTTATTTTTGTTATTGATCTCTTATGAAAATGGTCATAAAACTAAAATTATATTTGTAATGGACCATAAAACCGATTCCCCTTCTTCCCCATGTATGGCATAAACTCTTTCATTTAGATTCTTTTACAAATTTATTTTAAAAATATAAAATTAAATGTAATCAGATGGAAGAAAACAAAGAAAAATTTATTTCTTGATGATCAATACTTTTACTACTAAAAAGCAGCCATTTTTTATGACTTGTGAGTTGACAATTTTATTTTGATGCCCCTTTTTCTGGTATGTAGATGTTTCGGTTTGTCCCCGAGATCTACTCTTTGTAGTTTTCTATTTCTTAATAAATTTCGACCTGGAAAAAAAACTATGTCAGAGCTCTATACAGCCAATTTGATCTTCTCAACCATCTCCTTCAAATCGTCTTCCATTTATATGTTAAATCTTTTCCGATAAGAGCTGGTTAGTTTTTTCTTCTACTGCAACTTCTATTTAATTATCTATTTTGTACATTTAATCATTTCTGTGATAATCTCTTTTGCTCCTTTTTAGGATTGGATCATAAGTTTTAGATACAGTAAAGGCCAAAGAAGACAAAAACACGCTAGCTAGCTTGATTTATGGTAAGTGTATAGGGTAAAATTTGGCTCTCAACGTCCTCACGCCGAGTGGGCACGTCCATTATGATAAGGTCGACCCGAGTGAGGGCACAACCCAGTTGATAAAGTAAAGGCGACGTCGTTTAGGGTCTTGCTTCTTTACTGAGTGGAAGCCACCAACTTTTGTACTTTTTGATATTTCGAGGAAGGTCTCCTACTATATAAAGGAGGCCTTCACATTGAAATAGGCATCATTGTTATTATTCTCGAATAATACAACTTCTCTCTTTATCTCTATCTCTTTCTTGGTCTCCAACTATTGCTTCTCTCTTAAGCTAAGTTTATTTTCTTTACCTTTGAGATCTAGAACGACAATATCATCTATCTAATCTCTAGGTCGAATTATATTTGATTACGATTTACCCGTATTTATCTTTTGATTGTTTTCTAAAGCTTACAAAGCACATTAGTAACTTTTGAGCTAAACATTTTGGCACTGTCTGTGGGGATTTCGAGAATCAAAACCATAGTTTGCACCTAGAGAACCATCGAAAACCCTTCTCTACAACACACAAACAAAAGATGGCTGACAACAACGCAAGAATGAAAGCGATAGCAGATGTCAGAACCGACCTCATGGGTCCTCTCAACGAAGCAGGTGTAGAGGATGTCTTGAATGCAACCCCTAGCACCATAGTGAATGGGGAGATCCCACCTCCCCCACCTGAAGATCTGGCGATCTCACGCGAAAAGGGGGCTTCTACATCTGCAACTAAAGAAGCATCCCCAGAGGTCAGGAAACTATTGGAAGAATGGTTAACGAGTACTCTAAGTGCCTTGGTTGAAAAGTCACCCCAAAACAACGTCAGATGCTTGCCAACAGTAGACCTTACTGCAGCTGAAGGTGAACCCGAGATCGTACGAGCAAACAATATGCTTATCGATACTTGGGCCAATGGTGGCACGCTCACAACCATCCTCAAGAAGATGGAGGAAATGGAAAACGAAAACAAGTCACTTCGTGACCAGATGAAGGAACACCAGGAGAGGGTAGACAAAATCCCTGGTGCTCCCAAGCTGCTGCCAAAGCGAGACGTGGGGAGGTTTGTTGAACAACCTTACACAGAAGAGGCTGCACCGTACTCCATCCCAAAAACCTTCAAAATGCCTCCTTATTTAAGAGTGTACGACGGAACTACAGATCCCGAGGATCACCTAATCCACTACGTCACAACTGTAAAAGGTAACGACCTGTCAAAAGAACAGGTACCGTCCGTGCTGCTGAAGAAGTTCGGCGAAACACTGATAGGAGGAGCACTAACCTAGTACTCCCAATTACCGGCAAAGATCATTTCTACTTTCGAGGAAATGGCGAACAAGTTTGTCACCGCCCATGCAGGAGCAAAAAAAGCAGAAGCAAGAGTCAACGACATCTTCGCGTTCGGCAAACCACAGGAGAAGGACTCAAGGACTTCCTAGCCAGATTTAACAGAGTAAGGATGAGCCTACCAAACGTATCGGAAGGCATGGCGGTCGCCGCTTTTCAGAATGGGTTAAGTAGGGACGGCTCGAGGGCAACCAAAAAACTACTAAGTCGCCTCATGAAGTATCCTCCCACCACGTGGGAAGAAATCCACAACGCCTACTGCGCTGAGGTACGTGCAGATGAGGACGACCCCAACTGGCCGACCCAACGTTTAACAATAATACACCCAGAAATCAGGAGGGACCGACGCAACGAAGGACGACGGGAACAACCCTACATCAGATCCTCTCACCCACCACCACCCAGGCACGCGGACGCACTACAGCGACATGTCGCTCCACTACGGAACGACAGAGTCCTACATCCCAATAGGGAGAGACACCAACCCTACATCAGATCCTCTCACCCACCACCACCCAGGCATGCGAACGCACTACAGCGACATGTCGCTCCACTACAAAATGACAGAGGTATGCCACCTTTATTATCTGCCCATAACTTTTGTGTGTGCCCTTCAGAGATAGTGTACGCACTTGAGAAGCTGGGCAACAAGGTGCAATGGCCGACAAAGATGAAGTCAGACCCTGCCGCCAGAAAATCAAATTCCATGTGCGAGTTCTACCAGGAACGAGGGCACAAAACCGAAGACTGCATAGGCCTACGACAAGAGGTGGTCAGGATGTTGAACCAAGGGTTCCTGAGAGAGCTACTCAGTAACAAAGGAAAAATCAACTTTTCACGTGGACTGGAACAACCCCACGGGCCACCAAAGCCGCCTTCACCAATACGCACAATCAACATGATCATCGGAGACAGAGACGACTCGGCGATCAATCACGTCAAATTCTCCACTACACACAAGCTGAAGCGAACCATCGCCCACAAACGGTATGGCGACTTCGAAGATAGTATCACCTTTGATAAGTCCGATGCCGACGGCTTGTCTTTCCCTCATTACGATGCTTTAGTTATCACTTTACGTATCGCAGATACGGATGTTAAAAGAATCATGGTTGATGACAGTAGCGGCGCCTATATTATTCACCCGAGGGTCCTCGTACAAATGGGACTCGAGGATAAGATAATACTGTGCTGCATAACACTAACTGGTTTCAATAATGCAGTGGAACGAACCTTCGGGGAGATATCAATACTCGTCCTAGCAGGAGGGGTCATGCTGGAAACAACTTTCCACGTGATGAACCAGGAAACGACATACAACGCCATCATTGGACGCCCGTGGATACATGCCATGAGAGCGGTCCCGTCGAGCTTCTATCAAATGATCAAATTTCCCACCCCATGGGGAGTATTCAGCATTCGAGGCGAGCCTCGCACTGCTTAGGAATGCTATAAAATAGCTCAAGACTGTGCCCGCACCAAACAGCTTAAAGGGGCGAGCGCAGAGGCATAGCAATGTGTCGGGGACTAAAGTCTATCTGACAGAGAACGCCATTAGAGACCCTGATATCGGGCACGGTCGAAGACCTCGACCCAGTCCAACTAGACAACGACAACCCTACAAAGAAAGCCTACATCGGGCACGGCCTCTCAAATCCAAGTAAGTATCGTGAATTTTTATCTAACCATGCAGACCTGTTTGTTTTTTCCCATTCAGATATGCCAGGGATCCCGCGAGAAATTGCCACTCTCAAGCTGAACGTCGACCCATTACACCCGCCCGTGCAGCAAATGAGAAGAAAATTCAATGCCGCTATCAACGAAGCGGTCCGCGAGGAAGTAGACAAACTTCTGGCCAACGCCTCCATCAGGGAATCAAAGTACCCTCAATGGGTCGCCAATGTCGTCATGGTCAAAAAGAAAAATGGGAAGTGGAGAATGTGTGTGGACTTCACCGACTTGAACAAGGCATGCCCGAAAGATTCTTTCCCACTGCCCCACATCGATCAGTTGATAGACGCGACTGCAGGGCATGAGCTGCAAAGCTTCCTAGACGCATACTCCGGCTATAACCAAATCATGATGGCCGAGGAGGATCAGGAAAAAACAACTTTCATCACCCACTAGGGGACATATTTCTACAAGGTAATGCCCTTCGGGCTCAAAAATGCAGGAGCCACGTACCAAAGACTGGTCACCAAGATGTTCAAAGAGCAACTCGGTAAGACCATGGAAGTCTATATCGACGATATGCTGGTAAAATCGGCAAAGGAAGAAGACCACATCGGCCACCTAAAAGAGGCCTTCGAGATACTAAGGAGGTACGAGATGAAGTTAAACCCCGAGAAATGCGCCTTCGGTATGGCCTCAGGAAAATTCTTGGGGTTTCTCGTATCGCAACGAGGCATCAAGGTCAACCCAGACTAGATCAAGGCGATAGACGCAATACCTGAAGTGCTAAGTTGCAAGAAATAGGTACAGAAGCTAACGGGGCATATAGCCGCTCTATCCAGATTCATCTCACGGTCGTCCGACAGGTGCCACAAATTTTTCAATGTGCTGAAAAAAGACCAAGGGTTACAGTGGAACGAGGAGTGCATCGAAGCCCTGAGAAGGCTGAAAGCGTATAAATCCTCACCGCCCCTGCTAGTGAAAGTGAGTCCAGGCGAACCCCTATTGGTGTATCTGGCCGTGTCTGAGGTCTCCGTCAACGCAGTCCTGGTCCGCGAAGACAAAGGTACACAATCTCCTATCTATTACATTAGCAAAACCTCAGTGGACGCCGAAACTCGATACCCACACCTCGAGAGATTGGCGTTGGCACTGGTAGTAGCTTCACGGAAGCTACGACCCTATTTCCAGTGCCATCCCATAAAAGTGGTAACGACCTTCCCATTAAGGAGCGTCTTACACAAGCCTG